GGGAGTGAAAACGGTGAGTGAAGAAGAAACACTTCTTGCATCATGGAAAGTGTGCAGCAGCCTACACATATTGCAGCATAACTAAGAGAGGATTTAGGTCAGGGGTTTCCAAATCCAAGCCTCAAGGGCCGGTGTCCTGCAGGTTTTAAATGTATCCTTTATCCAACACAGCAGATTTAAATGGCTAAATGCCTCCTAAACATGTCTTGAAGTTCTCCAGAGGCCTGGTAATGAACTAGTCATTTGATTCAGGTGTGTTGACCCAGGGTGAGATCTAAAACCTGCAGGACACCGGCCCTCGAGGCCTGGAGTTCAGCACCCCTGGTTTAGGGTATGATTTAAGAAAAGCATGAACTAGTTTTTCAGCATCGCTCTGAGACAAGATGTTTGTCATTTTAGAGATATTGTGGAAATGCTACAAAGTCTTACATATGTGTTTAATATGTGCATTGAAGGACATATGCTGGTCAAAAACAAGGTTCAAGGTTGTGCCATCCAGATTAAGAATCTGGTTAGACAACATGAAAACACAAGATTTTTAGGTCCGAGTACAGTAACCTCAGTTTTATCTCAATTTGGAAGCAACAAATTGGAGGTCAGCCAGGTCTTAATGTCCGTTAGATATTCCTTCAGCTTAACTAATTGTTGGATAGATAAAGCTCAGTAACATCTACACTTCTACATAGCAGTGAAAATGTATGCAATGCCTTGGAATGATACTGCTTAATCAGAATCAGAACAATTTATTGATCCCTAGGGGAAATTGTTGACTAAATACAGAGTGGTGCATAAACACTTAGGGAGTGAAAAAGGTGAGTGAAGTAGAAACACTCAGTGCATCATGGAAAGTCTGCAGCAGCCTACACCTATTGCAGCGTAACTAAGCGTTAGGGTTTAGAGAAGCATGTATAATGTAGACAATAGTCACAGTATGAAACCCTCTGGAACAGTTCTGCCCATTTCTGTGTTGGTTCCCTCCAGGTCCTTTATTTGAAGACTTAACGCCAGGATACATAATTAATCATAATAGAGACAACCTCGGCTACATGGCCCATGACATCAGATTGCATTTAGGTCTATGCAAATATAGCCTTCAGCTTCCCCCCCTTTCTCTGTGACCTCAGCAGGCACGTTCCTGATGAGACTATGGGCTTAGTCTCTAGGTTCAGGTCCTATTTTTTTCCCCACATCTTTTATACTATCTGTGGCACAGTCACGTAATGGGATCGATTTACTGACTTAAGTCCATGTGGTTTCTTGAGACATTCCTGTGTAGTTTTTGGAGTGTGATGGGCTACATAGTGCAGCAGGACAGACCAGAGCTGTCCCAGAGAGCAGTTTTAGAGGGGCTGCTTGTATTAAAGGAACACGCATATGAAAATTCAAGGACCCAAAGGTCGTTGTAATACAACAAGACAGTCAGTGGTTTCAATGTCATGGTGGAGCTGTCCAGGAAAAGCAGGGAAGGATTTCAGAAACAGACCATCGAAAAGACCAAGATGATCACACAGCAGCAAACGTAACACATAACTTAATCTTTTCTTTTTCATTCAGGTAAGTGGAGAAATGGAGGTGAAGGAGAGCGATCGTCTCTTTACGTCTCTGATTCATACCATCAAGGAGAGACAGACCGAAGTGAATGCAGAGATAAAGGAGAAGCAGAAGGCAGTGGAGAGGAGGGCGGAGGAGTTCATCAGTGAGCTGCAGCAGGAGATCACTGAGCTGCAGAGGAGAAACACGGAGATGGAGGAGCTGAAGAATACTGAGGATCACCTGCACCTCCTGCAGGTGAATTAATTACATTAAACTAGGACTTTGAGTTAGACTGATGACGGTTGAAACCTTTTTGGCTTTGGCATCACTTAATTACATTTAAAAAAAACCCTCATCTTTATATGTAAGAAATATTGAATGTGTGTTAAGGGCATTCATTTAGTTTATATCATTTTGTTATATATAAATACTAAATTTTAAATGCCAACATTAAACTTTCTATGCTCTATTTCTCTCTTATAAAGCATTTGCCCTCTATTACATCACCTCCACCCACAAAAGAGTGGATGGAGATCAACATACCACCTGAGCTCTGTGTGGGGACTGTGCGGAGAGCGTTGTCTAAAGTTGAACGGACCCTCATGAATGAAATGGAAAATTTGAAGAAAGAAGGTGACACAAGCTTAGCAGGAAAAACAGCCTTTTATTTTTGAGCTGGAGCTCTTCTTAAAAATGTCAGAACTCATCATCTTACTTTTCTTATGACAGAGATGAAGAGGATGCAGAAATATGCAGGTATGCACACATTTAAATGCATAAATAAATAGCACTGCATTGCTTTCTGTCTTATTCTGTCATATTTAGGCAAATGCATGTTTTGCGTGCTTATGTATAGGAATGCTTGTAAAGATACTTTTAGTCATATGCTTAGAGAAGCTTTCTTAACTTTCTTAACTTTTGTATCCAAACTTTTGTATCTTTTCTTCTATTCTATTCTATTCTATTCCAATTATGGGTGCAGGATGACTGGTGCATTTCTCAGCTGATTTTGGCGAACAAACCTTAATTATATGCAAGCCAATCATGTCTGATTTGCATACCAACCATTAGAAGTTGTATAAACTAAAGTTATTTTCATTTTACCTTCTAGTTGACGTGGTTTTAGATCCGGACACTGCCCATCCAAACATTGTCTTAACAGCTGACGGGAAGCAAGCGGGTCGTGGTGAGCTTCTTCACGTTGTTCCAGACAACCCCCAACGCTTCGACCCTGTCATCTGTGTTTTGGCCAAGCAAGGCTACATCTCGGGGAGGTTCTACTTCCAGGTGAACTACTTAATTATAAAATCCTAGTAATCCTAGAAATGCAAAACACGTTTTTGATCTCTCTCATTCTCATATTTGGTTTTTAATCAGGTTTCAGTCGGTCAAAAGACCTTCTGGGATCTGGGCGTGGTCAAAGGGTCTGTCAACAGGAAGGGCATGATCACCTCCAAGCCAGAGAACGGCTACTGGACAGTGCGCTTGAGGAACGGCGATGAGTATCGAGCTTTAGACTCCCCTTCGGTCCGTCTTCCTCTCAAGGAGAAACCGGAGATTGTGGGGGTCTTTACGGATTACGACAAGGGAACCGTGTCGTTCTTCGACGTGGAGGCCAGATCTCACATCTACACCTTTACTGGGTGCCTTTTCTCTGAGAAAGTTTACCCCTTCTTCAGCCCGGGCGTTTGTGACGAAGGAAAAAACAAAGGGCCATTGATTATCACAACTGTCAATCATGAGTCATAGACTGGAGGAGCCTATACCTGCTTTTTAAAGATGCAAGGGATGTTTTATCTTTACTAAACTCGAATATTAATATTAAAGCTTTTTTGGTATTTGGGTTCTATGTAACATGTTTCATGGCTTGAAGTATTGATGTGAATGGTGACAGTGGTGCTTAAATGAAGAGCCTTTCTCTAATATATTTGCTGTTGTTCTAAAAGGTTTTTTTTGGGACTCTACAAAAAAGTTGCACTAACAGCAAGAAATGCTTCTTTTTTTTTAATATTGTCTTTTTAACCAATGACGTGGTTAAATGATGTGAAAGAAGCCACAATAAAACACAATCTCCTGTTTCAGATGCAATTTTTAATTTCTTCTAGCTATTTGGGATTAATTGGCCCTGACTAAGCTTCATCTTTGCATCTTTGAACAGAAAGTGTTCGGGTTCTTTTTAGCTTGATGAGTGTATTTTAGAACATAATCAAATCATCATTTTTTAAAACAATATAAAACATTTTAATACGCAGATTGGAGTATAAGGTGCCAGATGAGATGAAGATATAGGGACACATTCAAAAACATGCAACACTAACCCTGTAAAGTCAAATGTATTATATTTGGTCCATACTATTTTAAGACGTAAGTATGATTTTTGAACCCTAACCCTCTTTATTTAAGTTTTCAAGATAAACAAACTGTAGACAAAAATGCCAAATGTAGTAAAAATTAAAACTTTGATATTTAATTTATTTATTTTTAAATTTAATGAACACTTCAGCCTCAAAACATTAGAATTTGCTGGCAATTATTTCATGTTTCAGGCTTTACAGGGTTAAAATTATGTAAAAAAAAAAAGAATTGAGGCAAAAAATGTCAAAAAGCACAAAAACATATTTAATGTTAAATGAGCGACAAACTTATTGCACTTAAATGCTTGACAAAAGTGTTTTATTGTATATCCTGCCCTTTTCATAACGCAGCAGTGATCCAGAGCACTGCTGCCACACCTGAATTTGTATATAAATTGTATTTTAGTTACACAATGTAATTAATGTTATAATGTTTAATGGTGCTCACTAATTCAGTACAGTGATGGAGAGACATATGCCTTTGAGTCTGACCCTACTTCACTTGTTTACTGGTGCTTATTTATTATGGTTGTTGTTAGTTAATTTAAAAAAAAAAAAGAGAGAAATTGCCAGATTAAGGCTGTGACTATGTTTTGATCAGTGTTTTGTGGTGATTTGTTTTTTAAATAAATGTTTGCGTCATCCCCAGCAGGACTACGTGTGTTTCCATGTGCTTTGCATTCACAGAGGCCTTCTGACTAAGGCTAAATGCTGCAGGAGGGATTATTTGTCCTGTATGAGAGAGCGAGGACTTCTGAGTTATGTCCTCCTGCTTCTGATATGAAAAAATGCTTATAGGAAAATCTATGATAAGTTATTGTCTCTGCAGCGTTATGCTTGGCACATGTTGAACAAATGCAAAGCACAATATTCAAACTTTCTTATCTTGTACAGGTGTTACGGCAAAGTTACTGCTTATGAAAGCATTCAGTATTTCGAGTCATCTTTCTTCCTCGACATGATGGATGTAATCCAGTCTTAAGGAAAATATAAAAGATTATCAAGAACACTTAATGAGATAGAGTCTTGTCAGTTTAAGCAGCAAATCTCTCAGTGGAGATGATGAAAACTGTGGAATTAGTTTGTTTATGAATTCTTACTGTTAAATATAATCCTTTTATGTTTGAGACGTTTCCGAGTTTGCTGGAGGTCACAGACATGCAAAACTCTTTTTCTTGAACAAAAGTAGATTTTTGCATCTACCTGCAAGGACATAAGATCCGGAAATCCAGGCAGACACCTGCTTTGAATTTGCAGATTCAAGAGAAGGCTGCATCCAGCTTTTCACATCAGAGCTGTCTCCTTCACAGGAAGGAGTTATTGGGGGCTTAGATTATTGTGTATCTTTTGCCTGACATTTGAATTTAATCCACCTTTTTGTGTTTTTATGAGTATACTTTAATCTCTCTGAAAGCAGAGACCATGGAGAAGAAGATGTTTTGCATCTTTCTATTCTCTGGTGAGTACATTTTCTCTCTTGCCTTTAAAGTTAATTGATCTACATCAATACTGAAGTGTTGAAGGACGGATGTAGAAGGCATAAAAGCTGTGATACAAAAGTTTTTTTTTTAATCTTTGGCATTACACACAGGTCTGTGCCATTTCACCTTCTCTTACCAACGTCCTCTTTACCACTTTATCAACAACCCTAAAGACTGGCTCACTGCCCAGCAGTACTGTAGAGACATGTACACTGATTTGGCAACCGTAACTGATGAGCAGGACTTGGAGGATTTAGCAGGTCTGGTGGGGTCTGGTGGTCCCTTTGTGTATTTAGGTTTGTACAGAGATTGGGGCTGGTCAGTGTCTGAAAATGATGACTTCAAAGAAGGAGAACCTGTGTACTGGAACTGGGCAAGTGGTGAGCCCAGTGTTCAGTCCTGTGCAAGCATGTCAGCAACAGGGGGATGGTATGCTACACCGTGCAACTCCACTTTAAGCTTCTTCTGCTACACTGGTAAGATTTTTTAACACTTTTCTGTGCTTTTTACCTTTTGTGTGAGCCACAGTCCATACCACAGTCCCCCCCCTGCTTTGAAACGAGAGTCACTCTTTTAAACCTTAAAGTGAGAAAATTATAAAGAACCAAATCAGAAATTATGACACCAAACAAGCACATTAGAAGCAATTACAAGCAAAAAAAAACCCAGCAACTTTTTGCACTTTGTTTTATAATATTCTGGAAACCTTGGATCTAACATTGTGCACCCCAGGATCATAATCATTATGTAATTCGAGATATTAAAATTATTCTGCTGACTAACTGAGCATTTTTTTCCCCCAAACATCTGTTTTTTTCTGTAGCACTTGCCACTGACGTTTCTGAAAGGTTTGTCCTGGTCACCAACACCATGGACTGGCTCTCTGCTCAGAGCTACTGCAGGACTACGTACACAGATCTGGCCCGAGTGCGGAACCAGCAGGAAAATGACCTGCTGCAAGCCTTGGTGACAAACCAGCAGGTGTGGATCGGCCTGACGAGGATGTCCTGGAGGTGGTCTGATGGAAGCGAACCCTCGTTCATACCCTGGGGACTCTCTGTGTTAACGTCAGCTCAACTCAGCGATTGTGGTGTGCTTGAGGTCAGCAGCAATCCTCTTGGGATGGTCCAAAGGCGCTATGCTGAAAAACAGCCCTTTATTTGCTACACCGGTAATCATTTCTTTATTCTGTCATAAACCACAAACCATGATTTGTATGATAACCTTTTAAAAATTCTCTGAGGTCAAAATGATTATCAGTGATGACTAACCCTGTACTATCAAAATAAGTAATTTTGATCACTTTTTAAATTTGTTTTCCTAAATCGAAGAAAATGTTATCCATTAAGGTATATATTGGGTTTATTATTATTGTTATTATTATTATTATTTATAATCATTACTTATAATCATTTTCAAAGAGTGTGTGTAAACCTTGTGGGATCTGCAGTGCAATGTAGTGGCAGAAAGTTGGAAGGACCAGTTCCTGTTATTAAAAAATAAAAGGTGTTTGGGAGCTTAATTTTAAATTGACCCCCCAAAAAATTCACTCTTATTGTACACGTAAAAAGATTTCTGGTGATTAGAGCAAGAAAACTAAAGGCAGATATAACTGGAAAGCACTGTTGATGTTTTACACTTATATTACAGTGTAGTTTATCAAAATGTAGAGAACAAGAAATTACAAAAAGTTTCATTTAAAAATTAGTGTATAATTGTATAATTACAACTGTTAGCATTTGAAATGATGATGAACTAAAATTAAAGAGGAATTTATAACCTTACCAGCTCCGCGGAAGAAGACATTGGTGCAAATGCAGCTCAGTGCTGATGTGGACATGACAGACCCGGGTGTGAGGGAGTCTGTCTTGAAATGGGTAAGTTGTGAAGAGTCATAAAATGCCAAGTAAAGTTTATGCAATGAGAACATCTGCCAGACGTTTTTGAGGTGGATTGAATATCAACTCTGTAGGTCACTGTAATGTCAACATACATTTTAAATGGACACAACTTTATTACACTCTTTTGTACAAAATTTAAAGGTGACCATCTATTCTCACTGGACAGTTTATCACATACAGAGTAGTAGTACTCAGCTGGACTCTTTTGCCTTCAGGGAGTTTTAATTCTTTATGGCAGGGGTCCCCAATCCCAGTCCACGAGGGCCGGTATCCCTGCAGGTTTTAGATCTCACCCTGGGTCAACACACCTGAATCACATGATTAGTTCATTACCAGGCCTCTGGAGAACTTCAAGACATGTTGAGAAGGTAATTTGTCCATTTAAATCAGCTGTGATGGATCAAGGACACATCTAAAACCTGCAGGGACACCGGCCCTTTTGGACTGGGATTGGGGACCCATGCTGTAGAGGCCATTTGAATACAGTGAACTGTGGATACAGTAGATAGGCACAGTCAGCAACAACATTTAGGGACAATGCGGTGTTTAAATGATGCTACCTAGCACTAAAATATCCAGGGTGTTCCCGGAAAGTCTCAGATTCTTACACTTTCTGAATATTGCATCAGAAACTGAGACAAATCAAACCAGAAAACATTTTTCTAATCTTCTTTTGGCCTAATTTGGTGAGCCTGCGTGAACTGTAGCCTCGGATTCTTGTTCTTAGCTAACAGATGTAACTGGATTATTAGATTTGCTTTACTAGCTGAATAACTGTACCTAATTAAGTGGCTAATGAGTGTTTAAGTTCCGATATAACCATTACATTTTTGTTTCTCTTACACAGGTTAAAAATAAGCTGGGCGGTACATCTGATGACCTAAACGTGAGCTGGTGGAAACCTCCAGAAAAGAAATACCTCTTAAAGCATGAGAAATGCCCCCCATAGTTACCACTGTTTGTTTCTATATCTGCAAAAAAAGAGGCTCAATATCATAAATGCACCTAATATACCTTTGGTATATTACTTTTATCATTTGCAAAAGTGAAACCAAACATGATTGATTTGTTCTTTATTTCTTAGGTTATATTTGTATATTTCCTTTTTCTGTTGGAGTGCATAAATAAACATGAAGGGATGCAAACTTTCGGGGTTATTTAAGGTGA